AGTTTAGTCTGAAAGATGTTGTCTTTTTGATGGGAAATTTGCAGGGGGGAGATAAAACTGAGACGGGTTAATAAGAGGATTTGAAGAAAATGGGGGTTATGTCCAGACGGGTTTTGCCCGCCTGTGGTAACCTCTGTTTCTTCTGTCCTTCCTTGAGGGCAAGGTCTAGGCATCCCGTTAAACGCTACAAGAAAATGCTCGCTGAAATCTTCCCTCGTCATCAGGTCAACTCTCTAACTTTAAATCTTGTATATACTTTTCATCTTTTGGTGCACTAATGAACATCTTTGAATACTCTAGTTCTCTAGATTGTAAGTTTTGTTTCTGTTTAGTCATATGTAGAGGGATTCCAGTTACTTTTCTTGAGACGGAAAACGGGTAGTTGTCAAGTTTTATACTTGTTGAATTACTATTGGCAATTCTGAATGGTTATGCATGTTTCTCGCACAACCCTGTTGGAAGTTTAATTGGTTTTGGTACACTGAATTGTAGAGGTTTTGACATGGTTCTGTGTTTTGATTTGGCAGGAAGCTGAACCTAATGATAGAAAAATAGGCAAGCTTTGTGAGTATGCGTCAAGGAATCCTTTACGAATTCCAAAGGTAGCTGCATTCTTTTCTGTTTTTTTTTTCGCTCTGGTATTTGCTTGGCATACTTCTCTCAGTTTTATTCTCATGTGTTGCAGTCTTTGCTTGTGACAGATTACAGAGTACCTTGAGCAGAAATGTTACAAAGAATTGCGGAATGGAAATATTGGATCAGTTAAAGTCGTTTTATGCATTTACAAGAGACTGCTTTCATCATGTAAGGAGCAGATGTAAGTAATAGTTTCTTCAGGTTAAACTTGGTGTGGCATTATCTGCTTACGTAGATCTTCAGAAATAATTTTTGGGTCTTCTTTCTTGTTTCTCGATCATTTTATTTCCGAATTTCTGTAGATTTTTAAGATTTCTTTCCAGATTCCTAGTAAACCAACGAGCTACTTTTTCATTTAATAAATTTGCTGAAACCCCAATTTTTTCTTGTAGGCCTCTATTTTCGTGTAGTTTGCTAACCGTTGTTCGAACTCTTTTGGAGCAATCAAAAGAGCAAGAAGTGCAGATCTTGGGTTGCAATACTCTTGTTGACTTTATAAGTTTACAGGTACATTGAGCAATATTTTAGGCATTGTTACATGTCCCTTCACTACTTGTGCAGCTTGCACTACATAAAGTTTATTGCCTAACGGTAATCCTGATTCCTTTTGTTTTCTGCTTAATCGTATGGTAACACATTTGTTTAAATACAGACTGAGAATTCGCACATGTTCAACTTAGAAGGTTTAATCCCAACACTTTGTCAACTTGCTCAAGAAATGGGGGATGATGAAAGATCCATTCGATTACGCTCAGCAGGAGTTCAGGCTTTGGCATTCATGGTAATGCTTTTTCTTTTCACTTTCTCATTTGTTCGATTGACAGGAAACATGCTCTTTACTTGGTGATGCAAAGTCCACACAGCTGTTTCTGCCAGGAACTTTTTGCTACTAACCAATAGTTATTGCCAGGTATCTTTTATTGGTGAGCATTCCCAACTATCAATGGACTTGGATATGGTGAGTCATTGGGTACTTCAACTTCTGGTTGTCTATTACATACAAGGTTTACAAGTGCTGGTGCGTTGTAGTTTGATTGTGAACATTTGTTCATCTTGCACTAGATTATTTCTGTGATTCTGGAGAATTATATGGATTTGGAGAAGGGCCAAGAAGATACTAACGAAGTTGGTCAAAATTCAGAAACGAAGACTCCCAACGTGAGTAAAAAGGTTTCTTTCAAACCTAATCCTGTGACTGACTATAAGTTGGATAACATGTAAGGCTTCTCAGAAATTTATCTTCACTTGTTTTTATGATCACGGAAATGCATCATCTATTTGTTATTTGATTTATTCATTAAATCCTTTCAGGGATATTTCGAAGAGCCCTTCATACTGGTCTATGGTTTGCCTTTGCAATATAGCCAAATTAGCAAAGGAAACTACAACTGTTCGCCGGGTTCTGGAACCGCTTCTAAATGCTTTTGACAGTGGAAATTACTGGTCTCCACAGAAAGGCGTTGCCTCCTCTGTTTTATTGTTTCTGCAGTCTCGTCTGGAAGAATCAGGTCAGAGAGGATATTTAATTTGCTATCTATCCTGATATTACAGTTATATATGTAACTTGTCTATAAGGCAACTGACTAGAGAAGTTTTTAAGCAGGGGAAAATTGTCATGTGTTGGTGTCTTCTTTAATCAAGCACTTGGATCATAAGAATGTAACGAAGCAACAAGGTCTTCAAGTTAACATGGTTAATGTAGCCACATGCCTTCTGCTACATGCTAAGCAGCAGCCTTCAGGCGCGATGACTGCTGTAATAGCCGACTTGATTAAGCATTTGCGGAAATGCTTGCAAAATGCAGCTGAACCAAATGTGTCTGCTGATGAAACGAAGCTGAATTCTGAGCTCGAGCATGCATTAGAAAATTGCATCGCAGAGCTCTCAAATAAGGTTAGTCGGACTGTTTTCTGTTCTTGACTTTTCCCCTGTTCGCGTGTTTCATACACACACATCCCCGTAACTTTGTTCAATTTTTTGTTTTGCTTTAAGGTTGGGGATGCTGGGCCGATTCTTGATATGTTGGCAGTGGTTCTTGAGACGATATCCACTAATGTAGTCGTTGCTAGAACCACAGCATCAGCCATTCTCCGTGCTGCATATATAGTATCAGTGGTCCCAAATGTTTCTTACCATAAGAAAGTAAGTGAGAACTTTGACTGCAACTTTTTTTTTGTATTCGACTATCGTAGTAATTATTCTGTTCTAACGGATTTACTTTGATCTATCCCAGGTATTTCCGGATGCCTTGTTTCACCAACTGCTCCTTGCGATGTCCCACACAGATTGTGAGACTAGAGTTGACGCACACAATATTTTCTCCGTCCTTCTTCTTCGAACTCTTCGTTTACCTTGGTCAGACCAACATAAGGAAACCTCAGAAGCTGTTTCTGGCATATTGTCAGTTGATGGAACTTGTACAGTAAGGAACCGGAGTACCAGTTTACAGGAGGAAGAGAAGGATTCCTTCAACAGTGAACTGCATAAAGATGTAAACCACATATCTCATCCAAGTGTATCACGAGATACCAGTCTTAGTTTTCAGTCCTTGGATAGCTTAAAGGATTTAGATGATGGTATAAAGGTATGAGTTTTCTAAACCTATGTATCTTTGGGCTCCCCCTGCTATGATATTAATTGGCACTTTGCTTATTGATTTGAGTGTATTTGATTTGATAGTTAGTGAGTTAACTATAGTGTGATTTTATGTTATTACAGTCATTATGTTCACTCCGACTGAGTAGTCACCAAGTGAACATGCTTCTTTCATCCATATGGATCCAAGCAACTTCTACCGAGAATACCCCTGCAAATTTTGAGGCTATGGCTAGCACGTATAATATCACTATATTGTTTTCACTAGCAAAGGTTAGTCGCTGCATCTTATGTTAAGTCAGAATGAGCTTACCACACCGTGCTCTTTAAACTAATTTGATGGTTAGTGAACTTTGTTTATTTGATGGATCATCCCTATCTAGATGGGAAGGCTCCTTTGATTTTGTATTTTTTTCCTCTGATTTGGTGATTGCAAATGGCAGAGATCAAATCACATGGCTCTGGTGCGGTGTTTTCAGCTGGCATTCTCTCTTCGAAATCTCTCATTAAATCAAAATGGTAAGTTAAAGATTGTGGTTAATGCTTTTTCAGTTCGTTAAGAAATTACCTACTTTGTTTGCTTTTATATAGTGGATAGATTTATTCCCCAAAAAAGATATAATGAATTGGATCTCTTTTGTTTGCATTTACTGTGGTGAATATAGTTCTGTTAGTTCCGTTAGATATGCCATGCCTTTTCTGTTGATTTACGGATGTGATTTTGTTAGTGGTGAATATTAATATTAATATACATAGTCTCTCACCTTTGTATTGTGCAGCTGTTGATCAATATCTTTCTTTGATCTTATTTACTGTTAAATATAGGATAATAGGGTGATAAAACAAACAACTAGTCAGGATGCAAGAAATTGAAACAATAGTGTAGCCTTTGAGTTCCTTTTGACTCTTATCATACTTGTACCAGTTATATTGGACAGGATCCTTCAGAAGTTAGTATGTTTTGTTGAAACACTTTCTACAACACAGATTTGCTTGTGCTAGAACCTTCATGTTATTTAAAGTGCCTTAGTTGTGAAACGCCAGTGAGACTGACATCTTTTCCTTGTAAATGCAAAAGGAGTAACTGAACTCTCCCGAACTCCCCATTTTATTGAGTTTGTTTCTGACATATATTTCTGTATGATGCTGAAGGAGGTATGCAGCTCTCTCGTCGAAGATCGATGTTCACTTTTGCATCATATATGCTCATTTTCGGTGCCAATATTTCCAATATTCCGGAGCTAATTACAATTGTCAAAGAATCTTTAACTGCCCAAATGGTGAGCTTTTGTTAAATATTGCATCCATTTGTTTTTCATTTTCTAAATCTTTTGCTTTGGTTGCTCAGATTTTTTAATCTGTATGTGCAATTCGTCATGTCCTGAATAGGTTGATCCTTATCTTGTGCTGGAAGGAGATATCAGATTGCGTGCTGTATGTTCTGGATTTCCACAGGAAGAAGTGTATGGATCTGAGAAAGATGATAGTGCTGCTCTCAATTCTGTCGTGGATGATAGTTGCCTGAAGGAAATTGTGATTACTTATTTTACATCGAAATTTCAGACATTATCCGAGGTACTTATCTAGTTTAAAATTATAGAATAGTGTTATTCATTCATGATAGTTCTGTTACTTTTGGCGGAAGGTGTTTTTGATCTTATATCCAACGCATCAGATAAAGCTGTATCGAATATAAAGAAACCATGACTTAAGCTCCTTGTCTTTTAGTAGTCAAGATATTGTCCTAAATGCAGTGTTTGGTCAGTTTATGTATTCATAGCGAAACAAAGTAAAGTAGGACAAACTCGCTATAGAGCATGCCAAACCTCTCCATACAATAATTTTACACCTTTTTCTAAAAATGTTTGTGTAAATACTGTTAGGAGGAGCAATCAAATTTGAGAAAGGAAATTCAGTCAGATTTTTCCCGAGATGATGCACACCCGCTTGGTGCACCTTTGTTCATGGAGACACCAGGACCTAGTTCTCCTCTTAATCAGATAGAACTTCCAGCTTTTGAAGAGGTATAATGACTTCATGTGAAGCTTTTGCATTTCATTAGAAACTTGCTTCGGGAGTGAGGTCCTCATTGCAATTGTGTGGATCTTTCAGGTTGAGCTTTCAGCAATAGTGGCATTTGAAGGAATTTCTCCGGGGGCAAGTGGAAGTCAGTCTGGCCACAGAACATCATTGTCCACAAATACTAACCCAGCAGATGTTCTGAGTGTCAACGAGTTGTTAGAATCGGTAACACATACACTCAATATTTCATACTATTTTTATATTGGTTTCCTCTGTGTCGATTTTCACGTAATATTTTCATTGGTACATGATGTGTAGGTATCAGAAACTGCTCGGCAAGTTGCAAGTCTCCCTGTTTCCTCCATTCCTGTACCTTATGACCAAATGATGAATCAATGCGAAGCTCTTGTGACGGGCAAACAGCAGAAGATGTCTGTTCTTCGAAGTTTCAAACCCCAAGCAGTCAAAGCTATAACTTTCTCAGAAGACGAAGAAATGGAAGAACTCTTTCTTCTCAAGGAGGTGAGAGAGTTTGTTCTCTGTTCTATTGACAATAATTGTCATCACATCAACCCTAACATGCGGTTTAATATTCTTTTTTTTGTTTGTTTGTTTTCTCGTGTGCTGCAGACAGAAGAAGCTGATGAAGATGATCAGAAGGCAATCACTGTGGCACAAGTCCAACCTCAAGGCCAGCACGCATTCTGCTCACGCGAAGTGGAACAAAATTCGTTTCGGTTACCGCCTTCAAGCCCATACGATAAGTTCTTGAAAGCAGCCGGATGTTAAACCGGTACATTCTTAAAATCTTGCATATATATATATAGACACACACACGGCATAATATTTATATTATCACGTGTAATCTTCTGCTTCATATATTCGTTAGTCATCTCTTGGCTCTTTCTGGAAGCAACTATGATTGATTCATTCTATTTCTCCATTGTGAAAAAATGTTATACCTCCAAGGAAGCAGTTGTTTAATCTGATCGACCTGTCGTCGAAGAACAGACTTCGCAAAAATTGTGCAGAAACTCGAAA